ATCTCCGAGGGAGATTACAGAAATAATTAAACGTCTCGAGATTCATAAAGCTCCTGGGCATGATGAAATTAAGAATATTGCCATTAAGCACCTCTCAATTAATGTTATCTGCAAATTGACGGGATTTCTTAACGCTTGTCTTGAAATTCCTATTTCCTCAAATGTTGGAAAGTGGCAAAGGTGAATTCAGTACCAAAGCCAGGGAAAAATATTACGAAACCGGATGGATACCGTCCGATAAATCTTTTGTCCGGACTTAGCAAAATCTATGAGTGTGTTATAATCAACAGAATGACTCCTTATCTGGATGTTTTATCCGCTGAACAGTTTGAGTTCAGACATGGATTATCAACTACAAAAAAACAGCTGGTTAGGCTGACAGAATTTATTGGGGATGCCATCAATAATAAATCGTGTGTTGCCTTACTCATGCTGGACGTGACGAAAGCTTTCGACCGCGTCCGACATGGGAGGGGGCTCATCTATAAGTTGATTACCTCAATTTCAGCAAAGAATTTATCCTGCTTATCCGCTCATTTATCACAGAGAGAAATATTTTAGTCAGTTTCGCAAATGAGATTTCAGAAAACCAGAGGATCACTACTGGGATCACCCAGGGGTCGATTTTAAGCCCGCTTATCTATATATATATATATATCACGTTGAGGATTTTCCTAAGGTGCAAATTAGTCATAATTATTTTCTTGGCTGCCAATCAGATGATATCGCGTTAGCAGTTAAATCTATGAGGGCAGAACTTGCAGTCCAAAAGCTCCAAGCTATTATGTCTTTAATTGAAAATTGGTATACCAAATGGCGCATCGTCATCAATGCACAAAAATCACAACTGCTTATTATTCGCCGAAAATTCGCCAAGACTCCACTCAACATTACTCTAAAATTATTGAATACAGTTATTCCCATCGTAAACAAAGCAAAGTATTTAGGTATCACCTTTAATGGTAAACTTACCTGGACGAACCACATCACGAATGTGAAAAGAAAAGCTATAGACATTATGAAGCGCCTGACGTCGTTAATAGGTAAGTATTCCGGTTTAAAGTTACACAAGAAAAGACACATCTATATTGTTATTATCAGATCGGTGTTTGCATGTGCATCGACTGCCTGGGCCGTCTACACCAAGAAAGATGTGCATAAGCTGCAAATTATGCTAAATAAAATCATTCAGTTGCTGTCTCGGGAGCACCATGTGGTCAATGCTAAATATACTCGATCCTTAAAGGTTGTACTACATAATCTACCTACTAAAATGGATAAAGATAAAATAACAAATGTCCTCACTGAAAAATATTTGCCGTTCAAAAGATTGCACAAATTCCCTGTCGAAAAACAAAATTACCGATGCCGCTATTTTTGGCATGTATCATGCAAAATGAGATAACGCAGAAAGCATCTACAGACTCAAAGATTACATATATTTTTCTATTTCGAGAGAAAAGTTTATCTCGAAAAACCAGGTCCCTCAATGGCATAAATGTCAGAAAAGCCATCATTCGCCGGAACCCAGACGTGTGAAATGTGCTTTACCGCACAGAACAGTCGATTGCCATAATTAAGGTGGGATAGAAGAATCAATGTGCATAAATTACCAGGCAACAGAACATCACACGTCCTATCATGCGTGTCCAAAATTCCCAAAAAATAGACATGCTAATCAGAAAAATAACAATTTTGAATGTTATTTCCAAATGACTAAGAATCAAACTAACAAATCCGAAATTCAGGATTGTCCAACGGCAGAGAAACCTCATGCTATTGTTGCACCAAATGTTAATGATAAAAATTACCATGTTTCAAATTCTGTCAAACCTAAGCCAAATTTAGTAATCAAGGTCAGATTTCGGAATTTTTAACCTTTGTTAATGAAATTAATGCTATTTTTGGCAAACACAGACTTGCATTAATGAATAATGTATTTATAGTACAAACAAGTATATGTCTAAGTTAAAAAGTGTGAAAATGCCCTTGACAGAAAGTACACTTTTTTTTTGAAAAGATGTGCATTTTCACATTTTTTAACTTTTAAATAATTACTGAAATCAATGATTCTTGCGAGGAAACTTTTACGTTCTTACTTTTATGCACTAATAAAAACAAGTTATTTAGCTAATTATTTCCCACTCAGTGAGTAAGTAATTCTTCTAAATTATTTACTCATTGAAGTGTCTACATAATTTGTAATTTGTTTTATATGCATACTTGTTGCTCCTACCTCAGACCTCCTTCCCCAACTTATTAGGCTTCCCTTCTCTAAACTGTACGGCTCTGAAATTTATCTTCCCACCTCGTGTTGCCATCTGCTATCCATTCAAGTTTATATGCCAAATTCGTTACCTGCTCTATCTCAGATAACCACTAACTTCCTGATGGACAAATCGCAGCACTTCTCTCTCCACCTCATTCCAATGCGCCGGCGCTAAATGATTCTGATGAATGAAATAAAATTTTATGATTAAAATGGCCGATTTTGAGGCAACAGTCTACTTTTACCAAACCATTCGAAAAAGGCAGCAACAATCGATTAAAGTATCTCATAAATGAAAAAAAACTCCATATGCGAATGGAGAAATAGTAAAAGAAAAAATGTTGGAATCTGAAGACGTATGTTTTGCAGATTTTTAAAAGTAAAAAAGGTTTTTTTTTTTTTTTTTTTTTTTTTTTTTTTTTTTTTTTTCCCCCATAAATATCATGCAGTTGTCAACTAGAGTTGTTACAAGAAGAACTGAAGCGATCGCAGGCCACTTAGAAGCTCAACAGACAAAAGATATGAAAAAAATGTGCATTTTTTCCTTACAACTTAACGAATCGGAAAATATAACATATACAGCACAACTGTTAATAAGTGTCAAGATAGCCTTTGATGATTTTTCTATAAAAGAAGAGTTTCAAAAAGTCCTACTGCTTAAAGAGCGCACACGAAGAAAGGGAAGGGAACAATGGCAGAGTGGAATATTGGATTCATGGCTTGAAAATGCCAACAAAATCCTTTTTTTCCAAAACGTATTGCGAGGTTCGAATCCCGCGAACGGGCTGGCTGCACGGGTGTTTTCGTGGTTTTCCCCATGTGTAACGTGTATACAAGCCAGTTTCCCTTAGAAAGTCCTCCACGAAGGTATCCCTCCCCTTAGGCAGATAGCCCTCGATGCTTTGCCGTAATTAAATAACCTAACCTAACCAAAACGTATTGCATTTCACTTCATTATACACCAGCAATCATTGTGTGCAAAAATTACTGAACTCCAAGATGTAACCGCTGTTGTTACTAAAATAATCAATTCAAGAATAAAGGCAAGTGAAGGGCAACCTAGACCATTTAAACTGCTTTTAAAAAATGACAAAGATACACAATTCACCGATCTTGTTTTTCACACTGATGTTTGTTGGCTGAATAAGGGAAACAGGCTTGAGCGATTTATCAATTTGTTGCCATAAATAAAAGAGTTTCTAAAAAAGGAAAAAGTACGAACAGCTGGAAGTCAAAAACTGATTAGCAAATTTGGCCTTTTTGACCGATTGAACAATGAAACTTAGTCATCGAAATTTGAAATTACAGGGCAGGAATGATGAGGCTGCTGATATGATCAGCGCTATCAATAGCTTCAAGTCAATGTCAGAATTGTATAGGTCTCATGTCTTAAGAAAATCGTTAACTCATTTCCCGAATACCAAAAATTGGCAGAATGTCTGTAAGAGCATAATATTAATACAGACTCATATCTTCAAACTGTGTCTGCATCGCAAACTGAATTTTATACTAGTTTTGACTTTGCGAATTTACAGCCTATTTTAGATTTCTTTATAAATCCCTTTAATATTACTGATGGAGCAAACACGGTTACTGTAATTTTAACTATTTTCATCTTCACAATATGGAAAGCTTAAATTTAGAAATAGTAAGCTTGTGTGTGACTGTGTGTGTGTGTGTGATTACATGGCAAAGCGTCGAGGGCTATCTTCCTAAGGGGAGGGATGCTTTCGTGGAGGACTTTCTAAGGTAAATTGGCTCGTATACACGTTAAACATGGGGAAAACCACGAAAACGCCCATGCAGTCAGCCCGTTCGCGGGATTCGAACCTCGGACCGAATTACCAGTGTTCAGCGACCTTACCGCTCCGCAGCTGGTGGACTCAAATAGTAAGCTTGCAAAATTATATTATTTTAGAATTTTGTGAAAATAATAATTATTAGTTTCACAAAGATATTTTAGAGCTTGGTAAACAGAAATCAGTATCCTATTTTAAAGTTACGTGCGATAAAAATTAATTCTTATTGTTCAAGTGTATTGTTGAGACATTGTCTTCGAATATGACTTGTTTGAAGTTACAGTAACTTCCAAAACCTACTAATTAGCACTTAGATAATTGTTTAAGAGCATACAAATCAAATTATATTGTCGATTAAAATAAATTAGCAGACGAATTACAAACATAAATTTCACATTGAGAAGTAAAAAAAATATTTAAAGAGTATAAATTATAAATATTTTTTATTTAGTTCCATAAAGTTATATTTTTTAAACAAAACTAGTTTGCAATAAGAGATTTTATGTTTGATTATGAAACTTAAATGGGTGGAGCCCACTAAGAACGTACATTCTTTAAAAAATGGCTACTCTAAAATCTTTTTTATAAGAAGATTTTAGAATACGCATTTTTTAAAGAAAATGGCCAATTTTTTTAATTTTATTATAAGAAGACCAGTGAACAAAATTTGATTTACGACATTTTTTTCCATATTTTTATAGTATGGAATAATGATCCATACCCAAATACCTGCTCTTATGTTACTGAGCGATCATAGTAATTAATGAAAAAAACTAATTTTCACAAGAGAGAATTCGATACATAATAAGAAACTCATCTATCTTCAACTTTTTATTCAGTTCTATATGTAACTGAGATAAGAAGATGTAGCTTGGAAAAGGGAATTAAGGTGAAAAGTTTTATACTTTTCTATTTGGAATCCATATACTCACCTTTAAGAAGCTTTCTTTTTGCGTTCGAAGTTTGTTCAGTTCGGCATGAAGAGCATTTAAAAATTCTTCTGTCGCGTCTTCTACTTTGATATTGGTGAATCCACTTTTCCCTAAAAGCTGAAGCAAAAATAGGCAAATATAAATCAACAAATCTGGACTTTTATAACCGACTTTTTTCTGAATTTAGTCGAGAGTTTTATTTATTTTCCTTTTTGATACTTGTAATAAAATTAGAAAGGTAAGAAGTAATGATGGAACGTAAAAAAGTTAAAAACGATTGAGTTGTAGTACTGAAAACAATTCGTTCATTTCTAGCATGGTCGCATAAATGTTGATTAAAAATGCTAGAAATATAATACAGCATGTCTGCGATTAATCATTTATAGCTTTAAACATTGAAACTGATTTAAATTATAACGCAGTTCTTTAATACTGAAGAATGGCTAAAGAATTCTAATACTAAAGAATTGCTCATTTTATCCACAACGTATTTTAGAGTCAAAGCTTAATTTGGAAATACTTTTTTTGGGATTTCGTATCTCTCCCGCATATAGTATATGTATATTCGTTTATTTCCCTTTACTATCCTGAAAATAATAACATGCTAATAATAAATATCTTTAAACTGTCATTTCAAAATTATTCCTTACTACATGATCCTTAGGAAACGTTAATGAAGTAGATAGTTACTTAACATTTTAGCAAATATCAGTACTAAAATTCGTGAGCTAAAACCTTAATTATACAAAGGAAAAAAAGTCAAACTAAAACTGAATCATTCTGAAACTATGGAATTTATGTTTAAGTTTTACTAACGCTATGTTACTTCATTTATTTCTTTCCTTTCTGCCTCTTTTCACCACGAGGTTATGTGAATTTGAGTTTGAGAGTTTATGTAGGTTTAAGTGTCAAGCAGTTTGATTACAAAGGTTAGACATTTACGAATAACAGTGTGAGAGTTTGGCCTGCTATCTGCTGCCTTGCCGATTCTAATAAAGTTTGTTGCCGATGCTAATGCTGTCCTAGATGGAAACACTTAGATCCTGTTTCGGTAAGTATGTGTTCAAAATTCCATCGGGTTCTAAGCAATCTTGTAATCTCTAGTCAAATTAGATTTAATTTGTTGCATTAAATCCTTTATGGAACGAAACTGAATCCAGGTTGGCTGGTGAATTTTTGTATATTATAATTTCAGCGCTAATAAATGGTGAAGTAGAATAAAGTAAAGTGTTTGAATTCTGTGTCTGTTTGTTTGATGGTTAGATATTGTGGTGGTGCCAATTCATCTCACAAAACAGATCTAACACCATACGAATACTGGAGTGATATACACTGGTGTGCAAAAATTAAGGACGAAGTCGAAAAATTAGCATATCAGCTGAACGAAGAGGCAGAGCGGACAGAAAGACCAATCAGGAGATTAAGTAAGGTGATGTACGGTAGCACATGCGCAGATATGCAGGTAGACGTAATGGGGGAGTGTCTGAGTAGTATAAAGCATGTTGTCGGTGTAAGATATCATTATTTCTGGCAAAGAGATTGCACGCCGTATAGCAGTTAAAATCACACCGAGTTACTGCCTCAGCGAGAAATGGCGAATAATCAATCTGTTAGACGACATCTGGATGCTTTTACCGGAGGTCGAATCATTGGGAAGTTGGAGGAAGGCCGCAGTGTGACAAGTGTGGCTGCAGAGTTCGGAATTGCTCACAGCATCGTTTTACGACTTTGGAGACAATTTCAAACTACAGGAACAACTATCCGGGGGTTTAGTAGTGGTCGTCCACGAGGAACCACACCCGCAGATGACCGATATATTGCCTTACAGGCCAGAAGAAACAGGCGGCAGAAAGCGGGAGAAATCGCTAGACACACGACACAGGCGACTGGACGACCGATATCGCGTTTTACCGTGGCCAGAAGACTGCACGGTGGTGGTCTGTTTGCACGACGCCCTGTACGGTGTGTACCTCTAACGCCTGCCCATCGGAGAAGGCGTTCTCTGTGGTGCCGGGAACACCGGAATTGGAGAGACAATGAATGGGGACGAGTACTCTTTACAGATGAGAGCAGATTCAGTCTGAGTAGCGATTCTCATTGCATACTCATCTGGAGAGAGTGGGAAGCCGCAATCATCCCTCGAACATCATTGAAAGGGACAGGTATGGAGGTGGCGGTGTTCTCGTTTGGGGAGGCATCATGCTTGGTAGTCGTACAGACCTTCACATCTTCGACGCAGGTTCAGTCAACGGGACCCGTTATTCTAACGAGATTCTTCTTCCATATACGCGTCTTTTTAGAGGCGCTATGGGTCCGCAGTTCCTTTTCATGGACGACAATGCACCATGTCATCACACAGTAGCTGCCGAACAGCTCTTAGAGAGTGAGGATATTGAACGTATGGATTGGCCGGCACGATTTCCGGATCTCAATCCCATCGAGCATGTATGGGATTTTTTAAGGAGACGCTTGGCAGCTCGTACCTTACCACCAGTAACGATTCCGAAGCTTCGATTGGCGCTGCAAGACGAATGGACAGCAATGCCTCAACAACTCATTGACACCCTCATTCTCAGCATGGGCAGACGCTGTGAAACCTGCCTAGCAGTCAGGGGAGATCATATCCCCTATTAAAGACCGGATGTTTCTTGCTGGACACCCATCACATGGATGTTTCGGCCTTCAGTCGCATTGCGCTCCATGCTACTTTTTCAATAAAGCTTCTTTTTATCCCTCTGATTTCTCTTTTAGTAAGTGTTGCTTACATTACTCATGTCCTTACGTATTGGGGATCTTACGGTATTAAATGTGTTGATTTGGAAAGCTTTTGTATAAAGTTATATTGAAAAAACCGTCTCGTCCTTAATTTTTGCACACCAGTGTTGTTAAGTTAGAATACAGCGCCACCTATTTAATAAGCGGAGAAACTCTCACTTGGCCATCTGGATTCGGCTAAGCAACACGCCAGAGCATGTATTAGATCTGAATAGTTAATTACTGTAAATAAATTAGTTTAGTTCGTTTTGCTATACAGTCCACTTATTAGTTTAGAATCATAGTACAAGTATATTAGCAAGGTTAGTTGGATACCACAGCAGATAGAAACTGCATTGAAAGATAAAACTCCATCAGAGCTTTTTGAGCAGTTTTATTCCTGTGAAGTATATGATCTCATTGTAAAAGAAACTCTACGATATGGAACAGAGGTAAAAATCGAACACGATTTCTTGACCACTGCCAACGAACTACGTGTTTTTATTGGAATTTCGCTTCTGTTTATCATTCAAATATCTGCGAACTTGACTACTGGTCAGATGCGGTAAAGAATCTGATGCGAGAAATGATACTCCTCTTGGTACTCGGTTTGTAATGAAACTAACACAGAATATTGTGAATCCTTCAAGCTACACTTTATATTTTGATAACTTTTTTACTAGCATTTATCTTTTGAAAAGTCCTGGTGAACAGGGTTTTCGAGCTACAGTAACCATACGAGAAAAATCGGATAATCCACGAGTTTTCTTTAGAAGAATCTAAGTCTATGCGGAAGAAAAGGAAGAGGCACGTTTTGACGAGAAATCTGAGATTTTTCTGATGCGATGGAATAATAATAGTACTGTCACTGCTGATACAAATTTCAGCACTTTAGAACAATTCTTTGATCTGAAGAAGCGAGTGAGAGGACACAAAGATAAAGTTAACGTAAAGATGCCAAATTTGATTAATTCTTATAACAAACATATGAGCGGTGTGGATCACCACGACTGGTCGGCTGGCTATGGTAAACGACTGGATAATTCACAAAACTCTGAACAAAAATGAAGCTCTGAACTTGAAGGAGTTCCGAAGAGCTGTAACAGCAGTTTATCTAAGAGAAATTGTGGCAAGAACAAAAGGTAGACCTAGGATCTGGACTGTACCTTCTGATGCAAAAGAAGACATTCGTAAAGATAGTGTTGATCATTTTTACTTCCTTGTACGAAGTAAAAAGGAAGTATTGTAATTGCGAAAAGTTTCAGGCAGCATATTTCAACGAAAATATCCATTTCGACCGCTATCGAATGCAATTTAACAATGTTTTTGTGTGATATCTGTACGTAAGGACAGAATAAAAGACTCGTTTCCTCCAAAAAAATTATAAAACTGCTTTAAAATTAATTCTGAAGAGAATTTTTCGTGGCGTCTGTACGAACGTATGTACGTACGTACCTCGAACTCAAAAACGAGTAGCCTCACAGCGTTGAAATTTTGTATATAGGACTGCTATAACATGTAGATGTGCACCTCGTATTTTGGTTGCAATCTGCCGCACCAAACGTATATAAATATATTTATATATATTTCCACTCTGTTACCCGGCTCAGTGATCTCAGTTTCTTTACTCTTATATGTTTGTAAATTGTACATTTTTTGCTTTAAAAATGATTGAATTATGTTGTTTTTATCTTCCGGTTAAGGTTTTTATGCCTTTAGTAAATCTGTATGCAATATTTTTAGAATTATCAACAATTTTAAAGTTGTTTAAGTGCCGCTAAGCCTTTTTTTATGGCGGCCATTGATTGTTTACATTTGAAACAGCAGACTAGTGGATTTGTTGCCAATCTAGAGAAACTTAGCTTCGCAACAACAAAGATAACGCCTTCATTTATTATTGCCAATTAAATCATGCTTAATCCTTTCTGGAATTTTTTCGAGGAAATAAGTGTTTAAGATTTACTTCGTAATTTTTAATGCAGATATTTTGTGTGTTTATGTATTTTTGCCTTCTCGCGAAGTGAGAACTGAATTAATTGAATGAGAAATACTCAATCATCTGTGAAAAACTGTTTCTTTTTTGTTTTGTTTGCTTAATTTTTTTATACATCATTCTAGCTTTATTATAGTATTTGAATAGAACATGTGGCAACGATTAGATAATTCTATTCTTTAAATGATATACATTTTGTGCATTATAAGTTATAATATGAACGAAATATAATATTGTTAAGTGAATCTAGCGCCAGAGTGTCGCTATGGTAAACAAATACTAGAGTGAATTTTAAAGAATGCATTTATTGTATTGTGGTTTATGTGTGGTTATGTGCGAAGTAGATTTAATTCAATCCAATAAGTTTAAA